GCCTCAGTGCGTTAACATTGTGTGCATTGGTGGCAGTCCATTCTAGCTTTTTAACACTGATTGGATTCCAGTGGCTGTGACGTTGCACACGTTCTGATGCTAATTGGATTCTTGTGACTGTGACATTGCACACATTCTAGCAATGATTGGATTCATGTGACTGTGATGTTGAACACGTTCAAGCGTTGATTGGATCCTTGTTACTGTGATGATGTAAGCTCTGTTTTTATCCAATGAAACAGCTGTGGCAGCTTGCAGAGACTTGTTAGTGATGATGATGGACTGAAAGTGGAAGTATGCTGGCCATTCGTGATTTTTAGGTCATGCTTTCTGATTTGCTATGTTTACCAGTTTATATATTACCCCTCTGGAATTCCACATTGGCATAGGGCAAATACTTTCTGCACCCTGGGCCCTGGGGGCAAAGCAGAGAGAGAAAAAATTTGTGGTTTGTCACCATGCTCAGCAGCGGTACTGACTAAAGCCCAGAATCCCTGACCCTTCCCACTTGTCTGGTGTCCTTAAACCAATTTGGAATATCAGGCAAAAGTTTTCTGAAATCACAGGCAAAAACAATTGTTTCACAGGTAATTTTGGCAGAAGAAAATAAGTTTTTTTCTTATTTACACTGAATAAGTTGTGAAAAAGCCATATTAACAGGTGAAATTAGCCCAATTCATTACATATCTTGGTGTATCTGGCATCTGAGCTCAGTCACCCTCCTAACATTGTACGTAGAGGTGCGCTACTAGTTGCTGCTAGCATCCTTGAGTGGATTAAGCTACAGAAGCCTGTAGTTTGGTATCCATGCTACATTGAGTGCCTATTTTGAGGCGCTCGGGACTTTGTCGCGCCGTCCTGAAAAGTTTGAAAAGTTCAACTTGTCACGGAAAACTTATCTCCTCCTACAGTTTTCAAGCTACAGCAATGAGACATACACCATTCGATTCATAAGGAAATTACCTAAAAATTTGATGATCATTTTTTTTAATTTCTGTCTGGTTTGTTTTTTATATGGGGGAGAAGGGGGGGGGGGGGGGGAAAAATGAGAAAAATGGGATAAAACGCGCATAAAAAAAACTAAGGGGAAAATGAGAAAAGTGATCATCAAATTTTTAGGTATGGTCCTCACGAACCGAATGATACGTGTCTCGATGTTGTAGGAGGAGATAGATTTTCTAAATTACCCCTTTTTAGCCGTTTTCTATGAATTTCATGTTTTCTATCAATTTTTGCAAAAAATTCATAGAAGCAAAATGTTCTTATTTTTACATTTTACGTATGTATGTGAAGTTTCATGATGATTGGATAATAACTGTAGAAGTTTTTCCGGAGGGTAGCCGGTCCCCTTAAACCAATTTGGAATATCAGGCAAAAGTTTTCTGAAATCACAGGTAAAAACAATTGTTTCACAGGTAATTTTGGCAGAAGAAAATAAGTTTTTTTCTTATTTACACTGAATAAGTTGTGAAAAAGCCATATTAACAGGTGAAATTAGCCCAATTCACGGGCATTTTTGTCCAAGACATGGTGACCGGAGTCTTGACCCATCAGTGAGATGTATGCTTTTGTTGTGTGTTTCGTGTACGTACCGGTACATCATTTTGCTCTCCCAAATAATCTCTGCAGTGCACTGCATGTTATTATATTTATGTTTAGTTCACTTTCTTCAATTATTGTTGATGAATTAATACATCTTATCAGTCTAATTAAATTTTTTGAACATCTGTTTGAACTTTCAAGTAATTGCATTATCCATATGGCATTGAAGGAGTAGTGGGATTTTTTCTTTTCTCAGGAGTGGTATGATTTTTTTTTCTGTTAAAACTCTGTCCCTTGCTACTCAAGTAATTGCCACCAATTCCATAGAATGCCTATAATATTAATTTGACTATATTTGAACTCTTTTCACGCATAACTCATGACAATCGCATGACAATCGCAATTGGGAAACAAAATCTGTACAAAGCTTGAAGTGGGAAGCAAGGAGTAACAATATAATGGATCTTGCCACAGTATATGGCATGGCCACATCATTTTTTTTAAACCCAAGGTAATTCAATCAAACGTCATCTGCTAGCAGACGGTCAACATCAAAGTATTGCATACACAGTAAAGACACATGACACTACATACTAAATGTGCAGAAACTTTTTAAATTGGAAGGAATGAAGTGAATTTCTGGAGAAATAATTTATTCTGTGGCAAGACTTAGATATTCCTCAAAAATCCCTTGTTGTATGCTAAAGCCCAATTCTGCTACAACAAATAAAATTGGTATGTATGTCAGGAAAGTGAATGTACCAGTTTTGAAGCCACCCATGAATTGGACAAAAATGCCTGTGAATCTGGCCTATTTTACCCATTCCTATGACATTTTACAAAAATTTCTGTAAGGAAAACGAGAAAAATAGCCTATGTTTATATGAAATTTTTGAAAGTCACCTGTGAAACAAACATTTTTACGTGCAATTTTAGGAAAATCCTGCACAATATTCCAAATTGGTGATATGGGCTTGTGGCATTGTTATTGCCATTGATGGTAGAGGCTAAAAATCAGTTTTTTCATCATTGGTCATTGACTCTTATGGTCATTGTCTCATAGGTATACTAGTTAAAAGTAAGTATAATTTAGGTATTACAGGATACTTAACTAAATGTTATAAAATCATTAATTGGCAAAACTTACTCTCTGATTGTATTAATTTAGATTGATTTATTAAAATACTTTCAACCTTAATATGAAATAGGGACATGTTTACTAGCAAATTGCTGTTTGAAATTATCTACTCACTCATGATTTTGATTCTTAAAAGCCCTTTCAAGATTGAAAAATTACAACTTTCAATAGAATTTTGTAAGTTTCAAATTTGTATAATTTTTGTAAATTTAAATTTTTGCGGGTCCAAAATTGGTTTTTGTTGTAACCAGAAATATTAGTTGAAGCAACATTATCTAAATCTTAACTTTGGCAATCAGGCATAGGCAGCAGCAGGGCATTCCACCACAGGATCAGTCACCTACCCAAGCATAGGGCAGACAGACAAATTCACAGACACAAGCACTATTATCCACTAGACAACAACTACATCCTAGCCAGATCAGACAATCAAGCATCATAAAATAGCTAGAAAGTTCTTCAGCCATCAGTCAGACAACAAACATCTCCAACATTCATTTTAAACACCTAGGCTTGCATGGTATCACCACTATCAATAATATAGCCAACTTTTCATATGCTCACTGCATCATATCAATGTGGAAAACTGGCAAAATCATAACCCTCCTGAAACCAAACAAACCACCCATTGAAGCAGCTTTCTACAGGCCCATTAGACTCCTCTTCACACCATCCAAAGTTATGGAGCGCCTCACATTCCCCTCATCCACATGACATGGTTACAGAGCTCATCACTCCACCACCACACACTCACTTCACACAACATATACAAGATGGCATTAACTCCAAGCATCCCCTGCACCACACACTCCTGATTACAATCAACATTAGCAAAGCTTTTGATGCCATCTTGCACCTCCAACTAACAGACAAAATCTACAATACACACTACATAACAACGCCATACACTGGCTTGCCAACTACTTAACAGGAAGACAGTTGTTTTATACACTACAATGGCAAGTCATCACACACAGAAAACATACTGAATGGGGTACCTCAAAATTCAGTCCTTTCACCAATCATTTTTCAATCTTTACATGCATGCCATTCCAGCTCCACCAGAGGACAATTGCATTTCATCCTATGCAGACAACATCACAATTACATCAACACACCAATGCAAACACTTGCTCCACAAAAGTACAACCTTACATCACACTACTAGAGGGCTGGCTATCACACAACAGAGTCAGACTCAAAGTAGCCCCCACTAAACCAACAAGGCAACAAGCATACTACTAACAAACCACACAAAGTATCAACACAGACCCAGTCACACTTAACAACACTATCATACCACACATGCATGAAACCAAGATTCTAAGTGTTTTTCAGGCCACACATGCAGAACACCAAAACAAAATGCAGACCTAGGCTAAATACACTTAATAGCCCTCACAGGAACAACATTGCAACAGAACAGAGAAACCCTCTTTGAGGGTTTCTCTGTTCTGTCTTATCTTGCTCAATCTGGCATTAGCAAGATAATCTGGCATGAGCAAGATAATCTGGCATGGGCAAGATAATCTGGCATGGGCAAGATAATCTGGCATGGGCAAGATAATCTGGCATGGGCAAGATAATCTGGCATGGGCAAGACAATCTGGCATAGGCATGACAATCTGGCATAGGCATGACAATCTGGCATAGGCATGACAATTTGGCATTGGCATGTCGATCTGGCATAGGCAAGACAATCTGGCATAGGCAAGACAATCTGGCATAGGCAATACAATCTGGCATAGGCAATACAATCTGGCATAGGCAATACAATCTGGCATAGGCAATACAATCTGGCATAGGTAATACAATCTGGCATAGGCAATACAATCTGGCATAGGCAATACAATCTGGCATAGGCAAGACAATCTGGCATAGGCATGACAATCTGGCATAGGCATGACAATCTGGCATAGGTAAGACAATCTGGCATAGGCATGACATGCTGGCATAGCAAGGGCTCACAGCTCTGTCCCAATAAGATTTTGGATCCGAAAGTGTACCCTCACTGAAACTAAGCATGCTTAGTAATTGCTTATATTCAACCAGTTGTTTAGGCATGCTAAGCACATTGGTTGTAACATGGGTGAACAGGATCCTGAATTCTTTTTGCAAATTGATTTCTTTCCAATGCTGTAACCCAAATTAGCTGAAGTTTCACTTTGCATATTATTTGGTTGTAAAAAGAAGCCATTTAAGCTTTGGTTACTGGAAATGTATGTTACTGGCTATTTGTTGGAAAAAAATTGTAGATCAGTTTAATTCTTTTCAAAGTTTTGTGTTTCTAAACATATATTTTATAATACTATCTGTTTTCCAGGTTTTTATTGTTAGAAAATTGTTTGGTTTTATAATTGGTTTGAAAACAGCAGGTAAAATAAATTTTCAGATGCTTTATTCATGCCACATTTTGGTTTGGGTCGAAGTGGGAGTTCTTTGAGTTGTTTATAGAGCCCCTTGGCACCCTCTACCATGGGTGATCAACAGAAGGCAGCAATATGTGGCTCTGGTCCTCCATCAAGTCTGCCAAAATGGCTAATAAAAACCCATGCTAGGTAAGTTTTTGTTCTGTTTTGTTTTGTGTGACAAGCATAAACTTATTCATGGTAAACTAATAGAAATGATGTGGGTCTCCCGAGAGGGTAATTTCTAATTCCAGTCTGAAATCTTCTAACCATTATCAGTCTAGAGTCTTGATCTTTTTCTGACCATTATCATGGTTAAGGGGACCATTTTGGTAGAAAATTGAAGATTTGGGCTTTTTTATTTTTCTTAGCTTATTTTGTAGCTGCTTAATAAGTGCATCTAATGCAGCAAACCACATGTATGTGTGTGCTCTATTTTTTTAGAATTTTTTAAAATATGTAAATTGAAAATTTTTAAACAATATGTACAAAGATTTTTTAAAATTAAACCCATATTTATAGATGATTATGCTTGTTAATGGCAAAGTGTTTGCATTTGTTAGAAAGCTACCAACAAGATGCGTTCAACAAAGCTACTACCATTTATGTACATGCAATAGTTCTTGTGCAAGGCTGTTTCAAACTTTTATAAAATGACCATTTTAATTCAATATTTTCAATATATAGTTTCATTTAAAAATAGAATTTATAGTTCATAATTTGCGTTGTTTGCACTCGTTTGAAAGCTACAAACAAGACACGTTCAACAAAGCTACTACTATGGATGCACATGCAATAATTTTTGTATAATGGAGTAGTAAAGTTATAAAAATGATGTAGCTTTTACACCTCCCTCCTATACCTATAGGTGTGATGAGATGATGTAGCTTTTACACCTCCCTCCTATACCTATAGGTGTGATGAGATGATGTAGCTTTTACACCTCTCTCTCACACCCATAGGTGTGATGAGATGATGTAGCTTTTACACCCCTTGTCTCACACCCATAGGTATGATGCGGATGATGTAGCTTTTACACCTCCATCTGAAGACGGCTCTCATTTCTTCTCATTGCACGTGGCTGTGCCAGATGAATCAAGCCATGCCTCTCCTCTCCACAAGTCAACATATGATCAAATCAATGAGGAATTGGGATATGCTGAGGTATGTTCATGCTTGGCCAGGCTCACATATGTTGGGGCATTTCTGGTAATTGGGTGGCATGAGCATCTAATTGAGAACTAACAATGGCTTTCATTCTTCAAACATCATTTCAGGCTGAAATTTTACTTTTTCTCCATTTACCAATGGCTTTAAATGTTTATTGTTCCTGAATGCACTCATAACTTTCTACCAAGTTGATAACATTAAGATTTATCTTGCATCACACAAATCAATCTCATCATATCCCATTTTTCTCCTGTGGCTAAGTCTTTACTTGTCATACATATTTTTGAGAACAATTGCAAATACCTCAGGTCCATAGAATGGCCAGTCCACAATTACCAAGTATTGCAAATTTGCATATTAACTGAGCAGCAGCTCATGAAATTTGAAAATAAAAGCAACAAAGAACTCTTTCTTTTACTACCATGATCACCTCAATGTTTTATTTTCAAATATCATCATTTTAGTTTGTACTACTTTCCTTTTACCCTACATAAATTTCTTACTTTCATTATTACTTTCATATTTGTTTTGCGGCTTATGTGATTTTCTGGCAGGCTTAATATAACAGAAAACGCTTTACAATGGCTGTAGATAGGCATGTTGTAAATAGAAGGATTCCCTGTAAGAGCATCCATGAATAACTTAAAATTTATGTCTTTATATAAGATCAAGAAATTCAAGAAGACAGAATAAAGAAGTAATGAACTGTTCCCATGAAATGGGTCATCTCATTTCTACCAGATTATATTTGGTGCCATGAAATATATTATTGAGTTTCCACTGATGTTTGAAATGTGCATGAAATTTGTTTTCTCTAAATTATGAGATTTAAAACTTTTATCATCACATAAGTTGTGACGATGTGGGAGATAGCAGGACTGAGGAGAACTGTTCTTGAGAAATGAAATTGTATCAGGCTTGCCAGCAATCTAATTATATGCCAGCTCAGGATTCAATGGGTCAATAAGAACTTGTGTAGCCGTGTATCAACTTTTTTTTACCATCAATCAGATACTGAATACATTATTCTTTTGCAGCTTCCCAATAGTTCCCTTGGTGGACGGCGCCTGAGTGTGGGTGGCAGAGTTAGTTCACCGCGAAGAACAAGTGGCTTATGCCTTAGCACTGAGCTTCTGAGGGACTCTCAAGACCAGCGTATTGAAAACCTCACATCTGAAGACCAGCATCGGTACCAAGTCAAGCCCCTCTTGGTGATCCCTCGCATCTTTTCCCAGGACTCAGGCAAATGTTTGCCTGATAGCCAGAATCAAAACACTCAAAACCAACTATTGCAATCCCACAAGGAGCAGAATACTGAAAACGAACGAGCACCATCCGAATCCAGCCTAGGTTCTCCTCACGCACATAGATCCCCTGTAGTTTCGCGAGGCGCATCTCCATCTCGTGAGCTTAAAGCTGAAGATACAAGTTACAGCGCCGGCATTCTTGAAAGTGTACGCAATCTCTTCTATAATAAATCTAGCTCTGAGATTCAGAGCAGGCTTGGAATTTCTCCTCAGAATAATCGGAAAATATCATGTCCCCAGTTTAGCGGGCAGGTTCCTGATGAGGTGGCACGTGAAGAAACGCAGTATATGAGCACGCAAGGATTGGTAGTAGAACGCAGGATGCCTTCTTACAACTCTTTCTTCTACCGCCCTGGCGATGCTGGAAGTCAGGTGGCTAAGGCTGACAGCAATGTTCAGGCAAGCGTGCCCCAAGCGTCTGGTGGCGTTCCTGTGCAGCCGTCAAATACAGCGGCTACACAGCTGCAAATGGCTGCTGCTGAGGTTGCAGCTGCTCCCTCTGTGTCTGCAAAGCCCCGAAGGCCTAAACCATCACAGCTCAGAGAAATGAATTTCTGGGCACCCACGTCTATGTGAACTGCTGGTTCAGTCTCGCATGACAACTGAATAAAACTGGCTTCATAATGAGCAAAAACGGATGCGTATTCTATCACTACGCGATTCCGTAAAATTTTACAATGCTCAATTGTTGTTACAAAGTTTCATTTTGTTGTGTACTGGGTATTGTTCTCAGTCGTAGCAAGGTGCCAACTCGGTTGTCTATGCATTCTTGGAATTTTTTTTACCCTTCTGCGTATCAAGTTCTGACGAGGCATATATATCGCCTTTACATTGTCTGTAAAATATTTCGTAATATGTCTGTGTAAATTACGTCCCGAGTGTCAGATGTATTCAGGTATATTATTCAGGTGATGACCTTCATTTAGTTGTAAAACTTTTTGGGACCATCGTTTTTGGTTCCTGGCTTCTTGGTGGCTTTAGGTTTCGTTCGTTTACCATATTAGCATTTTTGCTCCGGGTAAGTGGATTATGTGACTTGAATTACTTTTTTCAATTTGTTGTCAAATGTCATCGATACAACTACCTAGCAATAATCTCTAATTATACATCCTGAAATCGTCAACATTTCAATACAAGTTTATTCTAAAGCTACAGAGCAAGCCCTACATAAATCTGTTCAAATTTGACGTAGATTTTAAGTGAAAAAAATTAGTGTACTTGATGGGACCTTATAATTATAAGTCGCTTCAATGTCAAAACAAAAATTTAATATTACTTGTAAAAATCGCATAGTATATTGAGCTATTGTTTCTTTAAGTTGAGCAGTAAATTGACAAGTCGTTCAGATTGTTAGAAAATGTTTCCATCCCATTTGCGGTACATTACTTCACTACTCATCCCTTTGCCTACGGTGTAAAATACAATGTACAGTAATCTACCATATATATTGAAATGTAATATCCTCAAAAGCAAATACCATTCCTTGCAATATTGAATCATGTGTGCCATTATCCCATTTCCTGTTAACGATAGTAAACACTAATGTGTTCATCGTATTGAATTCTGATCACTGTGCCACATGCTACGTCAACGAACATCGCCATAATTATAGCAGTCGTTACTCACTAACAAATGTTTGTTAAGAGTCCAAATGTTATCTCCAATCGAAGCTTCCTAATGAATGTACAGCGCTAACCATTTCTATCATCGCAAATGTTGATGCAAGAGCACGCACGATGATAACTATACACAACTTCCTAGGCACTTTGACTGCAAGATATTAGTGAAGCGATTGAAGGTATTAATATTGTCATACGCAGAGATTACTACAATTCAACTTCGTGAAGACTCGACCAATTAAATTTGCAGGATATTGGTAAGATTGGTTGAAAGTATATCACATCTTGATGCAAGTTTTCTTGAAGAAAGAGCTTGATTCATATTAACAATTTTATTATGGTTGTTCTTTTTAAGGTTTGCATGCTCTGACGCCCTTCTTTGTTCTCTAAATTGGAAGAACCAAGAGAAAACTGTTACTAAAAATAGCGCTCAAATCTTTAACTAAACCTGCATCAATCATTTTATAAACTGAACACAACAAAATTTTCCCAGCCACGTGCAGTTCATGGAGCTCGCTGGTACCTACGAAGCAAGACATGATGCTAACGAACTTCCTTGAACTGGAGAAAGGGCTCGATGACGAGATATATCATTCACACAGAATCAGTCATGTCGAACACAAAATAACGAATTGCAACAATTGACGTAGAAGTGGCAAGTTCATCAAGAACCAGTTATGTAACAATGGTAAAATAACGACGTTCATCTAATGAATATGCGTGTGAACGAAGGCTCAATAATACCTATTCCGGGCGCTCAATGCCCGAGCGCGTGCTGCACTAGAATTCATCATACAATTTCACGGCCGCAAATTCAAAATGACTAATGCCTCAAGCAAAGTGAACATCTGTGATTTAGGTTTACAAAAGCATAAATTTAACACCGGGAGGGCTTGAGCGAAATTGAGCGCCAACAAAGAATAAATACGAAGCAGCTATTGGCTCTTCATGGACACGAGCTTGCGGTTTCGTGCTCTGTTTTCGTTGCGGGCGTGAGTGTATTCGAACCACAAGATGTTCGGGATAAGCGAAGTGTCTCGTATCATCAGCAGTTCGCAGATGGACCTGAAAAATATAGTTTGCTAAACAATTTGTACCTGACAATTCATGTACATGGTAATTCATTTGTCTCTTGACTAGTTTATGTCAATGACAATTCAATTTTCTTCTGCCAATAGTTCATGTCATCGGCAATTCAATTTTCTTCTGCCAATAGTACCATGTCAACGAATTCATTCGTCTCCTCACATTAGTTCATGTCAACGAATTCATTTGTCTCCTAACAATAGTTCATGTCAACGAATTCATTTGTCTCCTTACAATAGTTAGTGTCAACGAATTCATTTGTCTCCTGACAATAGTTAGTGTCAACAAATTCATTTGTCTCCAAACAATAGTTCGTGTCAACAAATTCATTTGTCTCCAAACAATAGTTCGTGTCAACATTTGTCTTCTAACAATATTCATTTGTCTCCTAACAATAGTTCGTGTCAACGAATTCATTTGTCTCCAAACAATAGTTCGTGTCAACAAATTCATTTGTCTCCTGCCAATAGTTAGTGTCAACGAATTCATTTCTCTCCTAACAATACTGAACAGTTACAAATATACAAGAGCAAACATCTTGTTTACTGGTAGAGATGAAATAAGGCATTAAATTTTGTTCTTAAGCCTGTCTCACCACGAGGCTATTTGAGGGAAGAGCGGCGTGAGGTGGACATGCACGATGAAGAACCAGCCAACGCCAAGGACTGCCCCCAGGACTGAGCCAACAATCACTTGAGCCCATGAGTGATACAGCAAATAAACTCTGCTCACATAACTTACAATAAGACAAATATATATTTATATAATGTATACATTAACTAAAATATATATATATATATTTAGGTAGTCTTATACTCGTGATGTTGATCCTTTTTTATACTGCACTAATACAACTGACTTTAGATGCAAGTTGGACAATATATGCGCCATTACCATGAAAATGATTAATAAACACGTGTACAGTAGAATGTTGTGCAGTACATACAGTACATTACATTGACCGTCAAATTTTTTACTGTGATAAACATTTTACTTCAAGAAAACTTGCATCAAGATGTGATATACTTTCAACCAAACAACAATTAATAATGAGTGTGAGCTTGTTTATACTCGTATATATTGATAAAGGATTATAACGTGACTGAATAGTAAACCCTTGGGGCTAACAGTATCTATATATGGTACATGCTGTTAGAAAGAATGTGATTAATTCAGTTGAATTTACTAAAAAGAAGACAAACAATTGAATTTTTAATACAGGGTGTGGTAGAAAGCATGTAGATAATCTTTGTAGCAATACATTTCACTAAACTTACATTCCGCACAAAACATCATCATAGGTATCTTTTATACAAGTAATTGTGTAGAAATGCAGTGATTAATCCCACTGACCATTCAACTTCTTTTACTTGCATTTATATATGAGTGAAGGATTCTAAGTGCAATCACTATTCCAAACCTAAATTTTGTAAAAATCTTATATTAATTTATATTATACAATTGGATATTTCTCTTCATCTTGGAAATATATATATATGGAGTACAGGAGTTCGCAAAATAAGGGGAACGCCTAAGAAATCCGCAAAATATATTTTAGTATGTTGTAGGTCTACATTTTGCAGTAATTACAGCCTCAATTTTCCGAGGTATTTATTCATAGAAATTGTGAATGGTTTCCAAAGGAATTTTAGCCAATTCTTCAGTTAAAACTACCTCCAGCTTTTCAAGACGATGGCGGCGAGAATCGACTCCTGATTTGCATCCCTAAAATTGACCATAAATGCTCGATAATATTCAGTTCTGGTGATTCAAGGGGCCAAATAAGACGCTCAGCTGCATTAGAATGTTTCTCGTGCCATTTTTAAACAGGTTTTTACATCACTCTAAACACTGTGATGCATTTGTATTTAAAACCAGAGGTTTTCAAATTGTAGCTCTTCCATAGAATCGAGATTGGTGCAGCTTTCGCGGACAGTCTATAGAAACTGGAATCTGTAGGTGTCTATTGAGGTCTGCAGTAATTTTACACAGCCGTGAACTTTCGATTGTTCATCACAACATGATTTAGGTACTACCAACGGTCTCTCTCTNGCCTTCTTACGGTGTGGAGATCCCTTCTGAAGAGCATTAGAGCACATCTTCATCTCTATTTTCATCTTCATCTCTACATAAATTTACATCTTATGCATCTATTTACATCTTATTTATTTACATCTTATTTATTTACATCATTTACATCTTATGCATCTATTTACATCTTCATCTCTACATAAATTGAAGAAGGAAAATTTTGTTCAAACCCCTGGGAGAGCTGCCTTCTTACAGTATGGAGATCCCTTCTGAAGAGCATCAGAGCAAAGCAGCCAACGAGCATGCCAACGGGGAAGAGGCTGACAATGGCCAGTAGCTTGCCGAATGCATCACCTTGTTAAAAAAATTAATTCAATAACATTACATGAGGTTTTATCACTACATACATTATTCTAGAGGGGCTGAGAAGAATTATCTTAAATATTCACAATTAATAACAATAACAACAATTATTAATAACAATATTATTAAATAACCACAATTATTGTGCAATTCAAGACTTTAATATTCTTAATATTGTCTCTTTTAAATTAGAAAGATATTAATCATGGCACAGTATTATTGGTATTAATGGTAAAAAGTATTTATGGGTTAAAAGAATGAAACTGGATCTTGCATGTAATTTTCAGCTTATATTAGGGTATACTAGGCAAGTGACACAGCTGGATTAAAATTTAATATATACACAAATCATTATTCAAAGATTTCAAACCCAACCCCAATAATGGCCAATATTGCAACATGAGTAAACAAAATTAAAACAACAAACTTCTCACAGTAATCTTATACCCACAGAATCACATAATTTGATTTAAGGTGAATTTCAGCTAAATTCATAATCGATTCAATCAATATATATGCTGCACAGGGGCAATTGAATATCAACATTTGCACTGCACAAAGTACTGCAGTACTTTGGCCTCGTGACAACTTGCTACACAGAAAGGTAAAAATTTCTCAAGAAGGCATAGACAGCTATGTTGGCACCTCGCGACAACAGATGCAAGAAATTACACATGAAAAATATCTATTTTGATCTACTTTGTACTTTCTTAGCCATCACAGGATTTTGATCAGGATACTCCACAAATGTAAGAGAAAATGGTTTCCATCTAATATCATCTCCAGACATCTGAAAGCAAAATTCATTATTCATTATGAAAATTAATTAATCTTTTATAAACACAAATGATTATTTCTCAGTTCTTGCAATAATAATACTGATGTTAGTGATGTAGCAGACCATTATTGCATTATCTATAAATACAGCTTCTTTATAAGTATAAAAATATAAGAGTTAGACTCACTAGACTGTATCAGACTTATTAATTTAAAAAAATTAGGTCAGAACTAGGAGCTCAAGTGAAATGGCACAGACTTGGTTATTCAACTTATTTTTTATAGCTGCACAGTACACTTATACTACTAGGCTTCTAGTACATGGAAACATACACAAAGTGACTCTGACTGTCAGTGGGTAGGCCTAAGTGGCTAAGCAAAGCTGAGCTGAGACTGTTTAGACTCGTCCTCTTTGAGAGAGGCCAAGGGCAAGACCTATGAGCTATGACTATGAGTAGACCAGCTAGCCTGTGGCATCATGATTCCTGAACATTCCTAGATAGGCTAGGTACTACCATACTACGGTAGTACGAGTCACTAGACTGTATCAGACTTATTAATTTAAAAAAATTAGGTCAGAACTAGGAGTAGGAGCTCAAGTGAAATGGCACAGAGCCCACACTCCACAGACTTGGTTATTCAACTTATTTTTTATAGCTGCACAGTACACTTATACTACTAGGCTTCTAGTACATGGAAACATACACGTCAAAGTGACAGGTGACTCAGACTGTCAGTGGGTAAGTGGCTAAGCGGAGTAAGCGCCTAAGCTGAGCTGTCAGAGCTGAGACTGTTTAGACTCTTCCTCTTTTAGAGAGGCCAAGGCCCAAGGGCAAGACCTATGAGCTATGAGTAGACCAGCTAGCCCATATGATAATATATGGCAATGGCATCATGATTCCTGAACATTCCTAGATAGGCTAGGTACTACTACCGTTATACCGTACTAGATACCATACCAGCATTGAGTTGAAAGATATTGAATACAATTTTGAACTAGATTAGTGAATTAAAATTAAACTAGCCTATTTTAGAAAAAAAAGTATTTGCTACTATAAACTATTAGTACTATATGCATAGAATGATAAAATATGAATAAAGTATACGGTATACTTTATGTATACCGCTCTCATAATAATTTAGTTTGAAGGGATATTCGAAAGGGAGACCAGAAAACGACGGAAATGTTAAGTAAGAAGAAAAAAAAATGTTAAGTGGAAAAAAAATGTTAAGTAGGAACAAAAAATGTTCAGTAGGAACAAAAATATACTGTATACCTATTATTATTAGTCAATTGACAGCAACATTGTATCAATATCGCGATTGGTACCTAAAATTGTTTTTGGAACATGTTAATTGAACTTCGAAGATCTAAAAACCCCAGCTTGACAAAAAAATCTTGAAATTAATTCAATTCCCTTGCTCCACACCTTGAAAAATTATCCGTTATTCAAAGACTCTTGCCGCCTTGCGTGCTATTCGTCAGCGCACACAAAACGCCACTTGACTCTTACAATGGTAACGGAGGACTGAGAGCCAGTCTGCACTCTGCCAGAGTCAGCAGGCGCTAGGCAGCTGTCAAAAATATAACAGTCGACATCAGGGCGTTATTGTTCTCGACCAAAAAGTCACATAATAATATACGTTTACAAATTACTTTTTAAAGACAACACTTCTAAAGAATCCAGTGTCTCCAATGTTACAGATGTACAATGAATTTCTCATTTTATTTTCGAATATTTAAGAAATTAATTTTTCAATTTTTTTATTATATAAAATTTCGTTTCAAAATTATTTGTTCTGTCAATTGATTTCTGCATTGCCTCCGACTTCACACAAGTGTGCAACATTTCAGATCAATTGGACAGGTAAAAGAAGTTTTTGTACTGATAATGGAGCTGAAAAATATTATCGAACTCCGATAAGTTTTCACTGCAGACAAAATGAATTTTTTGGCGTTTTCTTTGATTTAAATGCTTAGTTCATATGACAAGTTGCAACGAAACCGTCATTTCCTAATCTAAAGTAGAATTGACTTTGCATATAAATTAAAAAAATAACTCACAGTACATCTACCTATGAC